AGACATGAAGCTATTGGAGTAGAAGAGACGACTATATTTAACCATTTCAACAGTGAAAGAGTGGGACTGAGATGCTAACCTAGTAGCACATTTAAATTCATTCAGTTTGGGAACCAGCGAAAGTAGCTCGTCAGAGCAATTACTGTGAAAATATTTGTAGAAAAGACAGAAGGTAGTGATGGCATGTTTGTGAGAGAGCGACTGTAAATGAGATGCCAGATCAGGGCCAATCCCATTGCATATCCATCTCTGGATTTTGTCGAGGACCTTAAGACAACCAACATGGGCTCCAGACCATATACGGCAGCAGTATTCCATGCAAAGGCAAATGGTTGATTTATAGATTTGAAGGATGAATTTAAGTGAGAAAAACTTCCTGGCATGACACAGAGAACCAACTTTTCTTGTGGTAGATGAAGCTATTGATTCAATATATTTGTTCCATCTCAAGTCAGCGGACAGTGTGAGACCAAGCAGTTGCAGAGAGGTATATATGGGGTAAGTCAAAAGTAGTGCCTAATTTCTGTTTTTTTATGCTGGTTTGTCATTTTATATCACAGTATACAAGAAGATATAAATCTGTAAAAGACACATTTAACCATTTTTTTCCAAGGAGAATTATTAAGGAACTGTACCAACTGTTTGAACTCTGCAAACAAAAGTGCCCTCTCTCATGGCTTAATTGCAGCTGAGCAGGCACAGAATGGCACACATTCTCACAGGGTTTGATATCAGTTTCCTGAAACTTTGCCATGATTTGAGTCTTCAATTTCTGAATTGTACAAAGTGTTTCATGATAGACAAGATCTTTTATAAGCCCCCAAAGAAAGAAATCTATGGGTGTCAAGTCTGGGGAGCATACCAGCCACTCAGTTGGCCCATGGTGTCTGATCCACTTTCTGGGGGAATCTTAATCCATTGATGAACCTGACATCTTAATAAAGTGACAATTATTAACAGTATGACTTCTCAGAATGTGGACTATACTTTTGACTAATGTGTATGTATTCATGTAAGTAATTAAGCAATTTCATGTCAGTCAAAAATCAAAAACTGCCAGATCATTTTTGGCATTATTTTCAACCGGACTATTCTCCTCATTTTTGTTGTTTCCTCATGTTTTGGCCATGGGACAATAGGGCAGGTTAGTTTTGGAACCATGTTATTGCACTCAATTTGAAAGTTGGGGTTTGACATGATAAATATCGACACAAAATGTTTTTTTTCAAATCATTACCGTTTTTTGAAGAAACTAGATTAAGTTTATGTTAAAAATTGTAGTGTGGGAATTTAATTCCTGTGATCCATGAAGGCTTTATAACACAGCCATATAAAATCTATAAATTACTGAATCTTTACAATCTTTGTATATGGACAAGATGCAAGGCACAAGCACCTTACTACTAAATTACGACCATCATTTATTTCAAAGGGAAATTATACTGAACAATTTAGCTATTTTATGATGTAATATGTTATACAGTGCAGTAGTTTTAGTGTGATTTTCAATAAACAATCCAAATTTATATACACTTTTATCTATTTTTTGTTTTTTTAATTATGATCTAATAAATTTTATTCATTGAGTGGCCTTTTTTGTAATCTTTTACATATTTTACACAGTTTTTACTTATTGGATACAGTAAAAAAATTGCATATTTTTCTTGTAGTGATTCATAATTAGAGATCTGGTTTGAATATATTTTCCATTCTATGAAACTAATACAAAAAATATCAACTTTTTTGAATTTATTCTTGAAATAGTAAAATTTTGAAACAAAAACTGCTTGAAATAGTAAAATTTTGTAAGCAAAAAAACTGAAAATCAGCCTACCCTAATGAGACAATGGTTCATGAATCTGATGACAGTAATTATTAGTTCAGTTTCTGAGCTGGGTAGTTTGTACTTGGACTCAGTGGAAACAGGGTGAGCAATAACTGAGCAGGACTAAAAATAAGAACTAGATGAGATATCCCTAAACATGTGCAGTGAAATGAGAACAGTCTACCTCCATAGATTAAATAAAGTGTCCAATTCACAATTCTCTGTAGATTACCTTGATTGACATATACCTGATGAAGACTGAAGGGCACATAGGCCAAAACAATGTGACAAAAACAACAAAGATGAGGATAATGGACTGCATGTAAATAGTGTAAATAATAACTCCTCATCCTAAAATTTCAGACAAAAAGTGCTAGATCATTTTTTTGTATCAAATAGACATTTTTATTCAAAGTATTTTTCAAAAACATTTTAAGATTTATAAATAAGGATTAAAAGTTGCTTTCTTTATGCATTTATGACCTGAAATTATAAGAAAACACGATTAACCACTTCTTTTTTAAACTACCAAAAGGCATAGGAAGAGAATTACCCCTGTTCTAGTCATCATCATGAGGCTGTTTCAACTTGAAGGCCCACTGCAAATCCATGTGATTTCTCATCTTCAGCAACCTTGTAAGTTTCAGTTGTCTCCAAATCTTGTCTTGTGTTAAGTTAAGCAAATGTGTTGGTCTTCCAAGCTCTTCAAATTATTTATGGAGAATAATGGAAGTTTATTGATAGTTCTTTTAATGTCATTGTTCAATGTGTATACCATATTTGTTCATCCAGTGTCTATTAACAGATCTTTTTTTTTCTCTGTATACTTGTATGTTGTACTGAGTGTAACAGCAAAATTGTCCAAATTGTGTAACAGCATTGGATAATTGTCCATTCCACAAAATGTTTAATATTTATAAACCACTAAACTAATTGCATTTTTTCCATGTTTTCAGATAAGGCCATCTTGACACCATTTTTCATAAGAATCACTGAAAAATCCTTTGAGTTATTCAGCTAGAAAGAGAACAGGTTAAAATCATTTTGTGTCAGCCCCACTATGTCTTCCCAACCGATCAATGGTGAGAGGAAAAAGATCATTCAGGCCTTCAGTAATGGTACCAACGTTCATACTCAGGCTTCCATCATCAAAGTCCATTCAAGAACCATCAACAGAACAGTGAATGTTTAAAAAAGAGGGAACAGTAGAGAGGAAAACTGGATCAGGAGCTCACAACAGCAAGAGGGATCATCATTTCAACTTAGAGCTAAATACTTTCTTATTGTTCCAAGTAGAGTTTAATAGTGTTAGAAAAACCTTGGATAATTCTAGTAAGATGTCTTTCATGATTTCTAAGATATAACAGTTCAAACCTTAATCTAACAATGGGACAATTTTGCTGTTACACCCAGTATATAAAAGGAGGTTACCCAAAAGTTTGGGGAATTATAAAAAAAATTGAATTATCCTAGCAACATGTTTCCATCTAAAGTATTTCTCTGTATATTGAATACAAAGGGTACAACTGACAAAGGATAGTGTCAAAATTCTATGCTACATTTGGGTTATACATGTTGTTCAAATTCACTGAACTTTTGGGTAATACATCATTTATCATATTGTATATATATATACAACTTAGAGTTACTGAAAACTGTGTCTTTTATGATACAGTAGAAAACTTACACAAGTGTTAAATATGCATAAAAAGAAAAAAATATGCTGTAAATTACTGATACTCCTTCAAGAGTGGACAGATAGATCTGTCTACAGTTGGGATGCTGAAGGTAACATCAATCAGCTAAGTGACAAACTTTTACTCACATTAATCCTATACATACATACATACATACACACACACACACACATATATATATTTTCATATCTGGTGATCACATGAGGCATAAAATTGACAATCACTATAATTTCTACATTTGCACTGTCTATGTCTACAAACCCTCTCTCCAATATTGATCACCTTTTGCAATAAATAAATATATAATATATTTCTATTATATCCAACACAGAGAATATAACTTCAGTTATATGAATGAACACTGAGGTCAGCACAGTCTGTTTCATGCTTGAACTTAATCAAAGTGTTCAAGCATGAAACAGACTGTCACCACTCTATGTTGACCTCAGCACCCACTGTTATATTTACACATGCTCTATCTTGGATATTGAGCACTTTTATACTTAAATATCGCATACCTTAAAGTATATTTTATCATATATATATATATATATATATTTATAAGGGCTGGTGAAAAATTTTTGATTCAACCCAATTCTGATGAAATATTTAGACATCAGAAACCTTTTGATCAGGCTCAGATGTCTTCAGCACTCCTTTATATATATATATATATATACACACACCCACACACACATATATATGACGGACTTGAATCAAATATAGATTAGAATCCAACATAAGACTATATATGAACTTATTTACAAGTTTTATGCATTTGCTTATCAATTAGCTAGCCTTTCATCACATAGTAGATCTCCATCATATTAAAATGGATCTGACAAAATAAAATTAACCAACAAATATTGATTCACTTAAAGACTCCTTGCCAAAATTAAATACCTTTGTTAATGTATTAATAGGTGTTTACCCCCACACAAACTCATACAAATGGGAATTTGCATCTCTCATCTTTATATTACAGCATTTTGACCCTGACAACACTGATTAACCTTGTATAGCTGTCATCTTTTGATATATGTGATAAATATGCCTTTGTGTCTCAACTCTACTTGATTATGTAACATTTGCTCATGAATTTCACCCCAAATTGTACATTTTAAATAAATGTGGGAATTAAAAATATATTTGAATAATCTTGGTATTGCTATAGAGTTCAAATATTTACCAGAAATTACAATGAAAATCAGGAATTTAACTTTGGTACAAGCAAGAATTTTGTGACTTTATTTCTATGCCAATAAGTTAAACTAAGAAAAAGAAATCTTATTTGAAAATCACCATTGCTATCATTTATCTCTCAAAAATTTTACGTTCCTGCTTATTTGTTTGGTATTACTGGTATTTTTCTTTTTCTCCTTGTTGAGTATTTCTAGATTTATCAATCTACAAATGCAGTATCCAAGGTGAACTTCAGGAAAAGCGAAAAAAACTTGTTCAAGATCTACACTGCAACTATGCTGCCTGAAATACAGGCCAATCGGTACTCTCCCACCTTACCTTCATTAACCACCCGTTCTTCACCTGCAACTGTGCTGTTTATATCTAGTAAGTAGTTCTCATGCAGATTGTTGTCTTCAACAATGAAGAATAGAAAGCTTTGCGCTCCTCCTCCTCCTGCTTCTGCTGCTCCTCTTACTTTTCCTCTTTTCTTTCCAATTGTGTCACCAGTTTAAATATTTTAAATGTAAATTAATTTCCTTATGTGGGCAGTAATTTAAAATTTACCTGAAGTACCTAGTGTTTTAAATGTATATAATATTCTTTACTGTAATCTCCTACAAAGGCTCAGTTCTTAGTTTTAAAAAGAATAAATACTTTTTTTATTAAAAAGAAAAAAGTGCTACTGAATTTAGTATTATAAGTTTTAAAAAAAAAAAAAAGCAGCAACGTAAAAGCTTTCTTAAAAATCTTCAAACATTTGGTAAGCTAACCTAACCTAAGCAAAATGTATTTTTCAGTCAATTTTTTAGGCTAGGGTTTCAAAATCATAAATATTTATTTATTTATTATAAGAAAACTGTGCACTTTGTTTTTTCTTTAATATTCCACCTTCCCCTAATTTTGGTTATCATATGTAAATGTTATAAAAGGCTTTTAGAAGCAAGTGTCTTTCTGAAAGTGAATATTTTGATAGCTCCATATTACGTCATGCTTTATTCTATAAACATGAAGAAAAAAAAATAAAGAATCCTGTAGCAAGATAATTCAGGAGAGATTATAATCTTTGTGGATATCCGTATGCTGCAAATGGTGAGGGTTACATGCCTGCATGCTGTAATTACATTTAAAAGGTCAACTACTACAGAGAGCTTAAATGTACATGAGCAGCACTTTGAAATAGGGTAGGAGGTGGGGAGAAAAGATGCATTAAAGAGAAGAGAAAAAAAACTTCATTTCTTGTTTAAGTGTAGCCTAGAGTCAACTGATATGAATTGAACTTGATAATTTAAACATGGAAAAGAATTTGAATTAAGAAACAGGTCCATGAATAGCATATTTATTAACTTTTCTGTTGAATACGGAAAATGTCTAAATTTCCTCAAAGATCCTTTTTCACAGCTTTTTACCCCAACTTTTGAGTGGACTTTTCTGCAGTTTACATTAGTTAAAAAACCTGTAAGACAAACAAAGAGGAAATTATATATATATATATATATATATATATATATATATATATATATATATATATATATATATAAGAGGATATCTCATCAAATAACTATTCTTTTTGTTTTACTTCAGTTTCATAAATGATGTTTGGATAATTGTAATTACTAAAGGAAAGTAGAAATTCTCTATTTAAAATTGTGATGAACAGAAAATTTACTATATTTGATATATACCAGAAGAATAAAATGGCAAAACTGTAAATGTTACTTTTTAATTATTACAAAAGTTAAAATAAACAACTTTTTATTAAAATTATTGAGCTTTATGTATATAAAAAGGCTATTAATATTATTGAGTAATATGTATATAAACAGGCTAACCATATCAAGTGTGAAAGATTCTTTTAAAGCATAAACATGAGTTCAAAAGCTTGAATTGAAACAAAGTCCATCTCTCTATATATAGCAACCATCCTGTATAAATGCTTGTATACATATTTAATTACATAAATTATCACTGTGGTTTGCAATTATGTTATTAGTATTGTATGATTATACCATGCTTAAAACATTTGAACTATCATTATTCCTTTTGTGCATTTGATTAATTTTAATTAATAAAAGAAAGTTAAAATCATATATATAAATTAATGACTCAAATTAGCTAATGAATATATTTGTTGTGAAGAAGGGGTATTATATTGTAAGACCTGAAACCCCTAATGATCCATGGCTAAAATATCACCGATGATGTTTGCCAGACCATCTGTGAGATGTATTTTGTGAAATATACATTTTATTTATATATATATATATATATATATATATATATATATATATATATATATATATATAAAAGTAATCATTTTTTGAAAAGTAACTCATTATATTTAGGTCACTGTATAAAATTCAGAAATATATTTCTGTGATATAATTTTTTTTATATTTATTCTTACAAAAAGAAACTATAAATAGATTTATAAACTTATATAAAAAAATAACAAATCTATTTTCCAGGTGTATATGTGTGAACACTTGATTGAATATTTAAAATTTATAAATGCATATGAACTGAATTAAAAGTATATTTACCAAAATTATAGAACAAATAACTTAAATATATATGCTGAGTTATTACTTACACAAAAAGTCTTAAAAAATCTTAGTTTAAATTTCTACCCATGTATGCATATACCTGTCATTAAAGCCAGATAGGTATAAGTGAAAAAAAAAAAAAAATTTTATCTTTTTATCATTATTCAACCAACAATTTCTAGTAAATATATTATCACAAGCAGATCAAAAGATATTCACTTTATGTAAATATATATTATATACCAGGTGTACATATTTTTAGTCATGTAAATATTTTTCATTCATTATCTGTTAGAAGTGTATATATTTTGCAGAAACCAAAGAAAATATTGAGAACATTTTGATGTTACAGCTACTGATAGATACCCTAGACACAAGACTTGAGCCTGTAAAATGCATAAGAGAAAGAAAGAAAGAGATAGTAGCAGTCCTTTCGTAGGTCAACCTCCTATTTCAGTAGAGAATGTCATGTTGACATGGAAGAGAGAAGCGTTTCTTTCGACTTTGGTCAGAGAACTGACAACTGAGTATATATTGATTTTTGGGTCAACAATTCCCCTCCCCTTTCCTTCATTGCTGATTTATCTTTTAACAAAGCTTCACAGTCAGTTGAGTAATAATCATCAGTTAGGGTCAGTCACAACTTAAAAAAATGATTGAAAAAAAAAAATGTCATCATGACATTTGAGTTAACTGGTCAGATTGGCCTGACTAAAAACGTGTAGGTGTTATAATTGTCTTTTTACTGATGAGTGAGAAATTGAAAATATCTGATTGCTATGAGGTGGAGTGGGAGGAGAGAGTGGGTGTATTTAGTTATTTTTAATTTGTATATATACTTTTTATTTTGATAGTGATAGGGAAGAACTGAGTATGCCTGTAAATTATATATATGAATGTCATTTTTAAAAGTTTGCTTATGAAAAAGGAATTTATATCTAATGTAACATACATTAGATATCATTTGCTTTATGTATGTGTATGTGTGTGTGAGAGAACTGATACTTTACATGTCCATTGTAATGTATAGTTCTGTATATATAAATTATTGATTAACTGCAAACTGCATCATTGTGTGGATTAAAAAATAATTTAACATACACATAATATAATTATGGTGCAGTGTGTGCTGTTATCTTTAACAAAACATAAAAATTACATATTTTCTCATTGTAATAGCATCTATTTCTCAATGTACATCGCATTTTACTTAAATATAGCAGTTATATTAACAAAAAAAAAAAGTATCTATTTTTCATCCTAACAGATTCATATATAAGTTTTATTCCATTTCTGGAATATGGTTCTACTAGTACTACACTTCTGTACCGATTACTTCACTCAAACGCATATATTATTAGAACTTCCTTTCTCAGCAGTAGCAAATGAAAACGCATGAAAATTTGTTAGCAAAACTTTTTTTAAATTTGTCTGAGTGTGTTGTTGAGTGAGAACGTGATAAAAGTAACGCTATCAAAAGCTTCTTTTTTATTGAACTGAATAGATAGAGACGTCAGCAGTGCTACTCAGAAGGTCTTTAGTTAATTTACAAATGCATTGCACAGCTTAAATTGAAAGGTTTGCTGTAAAAGCATCAAAACTGCAAATATTTTTAAAAATCAATAGCAGACGGTCTACCATTAACAAATTCCAGTTCAGATTTTCGAGTAACCCAATGATTCCGCTAAAGTCCATTATATAATCAAAACAAAATTAACAGCGTTTTTAATTACTTGCAAACCAAAATTATTATTTCAAAGCAGAACACCTAAAATTTATGAACAAAACAGAGGTTTTTAAAACTTTATTCACTTTTTGGAAAACTAAGGGCCTTTATTAAAAGCGGAAGTCCACGTTTCGGGTTGAAACTGAATTCACTTTTACATATTTCCATTAATATCACTTGCGTTGTTTTGGGCGAGAAGGTAAGTCAAAAAATAACTTTTTATATTAAGTTTTTAAATCTTAGCCTTCGGAGGCCATTTGTTTCGGTTGTGTTTTTGGTCTGTTGGAGCATTACAAGCAGCAGTGTCCATTGGAGAGTGTAGATGTAGGTCAGGTAAATGAGTTGCTATATGGCGGACGCGGGGGTGCAAGAGAGAAAGAGCTTATGAAGAAGGAGGGCAAAAAAAAAGAGGAGTGATGAAGTTGAGTCAAGGGAGGAGTAGTTAAGCGTGAGGTGGTGGGAGGGGGCCTTGAGTGCACCAAAGAGGTGGGAGTAAGAGGTAGGATATGATGGAAGTAAGAGGAGGAGGCCGTCGTGTTACGGTAGTAGGAGTGGGAGGAGGGCCTAGAACGTGTACTCCCCCGCCACCTCCTCAATCGGCCTCTTTTCTCTTCTCTTTCTACACATGACAGTAGATAAACCATTAAAACCTGGACACGATTTTTTTTCCTTAAAACTAATATTTGAAAACAAAAAATAAAACTGATACGAAAAATAACCTTTGCATGACGATAGAAACTCTTTGCAGTTAATGTGCGAAAAAAGTATTTTCTTTTTTTCAGTCAGATTTGATTTACCATTTAAAAGTTAGGAAAAAAAGCCACGAGATCTTGGTACAGGATGGGCGTAAACTGGGGGGTCTGTTTTTGAATGTAATTGTCTTGTAGATTGATCCCCCAGTTTGGGTTCACGTTGTATGTCTGTCTGCCTGGTGCCTTCTCCAAGACTTCAGTTTGGCTACTAGCAGCTCCGCGTCGTCTTCCCTCTGCAGACACAGACCGGAGACAGACAGACAGACAGATTTCTATCTATGTCTGATCCTACAGTTTCCCTTTACTAAAAGTGGGGCATTGAAGTGAGCCAACAAATTCTCCTGACTCCGAGAACGACAACTATCATTTTCCCGGAGGTTTCCATCCACAATCCATGCTGTAGCCACTGTTTTTATTTACTTAGACCGAAGTGACGACACCAACAACAAATTCCTTCTTCCACTACGATCAAGTACGACTCTGCTCGCCCGGGTTTGTTTTTATTTTTTCTAATATTTTTCCATATTTTCAGCCTATTCAATTTTATTTATTCCAACAAAATTAAGAATAGTTATCTAGATAAAATATTTTACGCAGTATGGTTAGAGGATATCAAAAAAAAAAAAAAGTGTAGAGACCCCTTTTTTTCTAAGGGTTTTCGTTTCACAACACAAAGACGATCCTTCTTTTTGCAAATTTAAATTCTTTAATCAAAAATATCCGTTGTCAAATTTTTCCAAAGTTATAAATCCAAATGAAAACCCACAGTAATTTTTATTTTCGGACATCAGTTTGTTTTCTGTTAAAGAATTTTAACAATTCTTTTTTTTTTTTTACTTTTTTCCCACCCCTTTTTCTGTTTTCGCAAACTAGTGAGGTTTGCCAATGCAGAACCACTGAACCAGCAACTTGCTGGAATTTGAGAGTAATTTTTTCCTTTTAAAATTCAGATAAAGAACGAATCCTCGGTGAAATTTTAGTGCTTTTATGTTTTAAGATACATTCCAAAGAATAAGAAATTAAAATTGTTTCTCTAAGTATTATTTCTGTGGAACAGAAAATTAAAATTCCAATAGAGCCGTTAAAAGTCCTACAGAAAAAAAAGAAGAAAAAACTTGTTAAAAAATGTAATGTTTCCACAGAAGTTAGTACTAAAAAGAAGACTCCCAGGTTTTCAATGTATCAAATAAATGAATAAAAGTTCTCTAATTAATCAGTAACTGTAACTAGGAAGCAAGGTTCTTCCACATATACTTCATTATCATAGAGAACAACGAACTAGGAAGAAGGAGAACAAAACAGCAAATGTTCCTTGTTCGTTTGTTGATGAGTGTAATTGAAGATAATTTTCTCGTAAATTAAAATCATTATCATTTTTAATTCTTTTACCTTATTCAATTCCAAAATCTCATCAGAAAATTTCACTATTTTACTTAATAATACGCATCATCTCCATTTGTGGTATCATAGGGTATAAAAGAGTTAAAACGAAATTGTGCAATATTGGCATTTAAGATGTCCGTCTCCACCTGCATTTTGTCCTTACCTACTTTTCTTTACTTTACCTACAGGTTTTACCGTTTTCACCCGTTTGAAACAATGTTATTTTTTGTTTGTTAGTTTTTCGTTTGTTTGTTTTTTGTTTTGTTTTGTTTTTCGTGTGTTACATTCACAATTAGTTGAATAATGTGTATCCATCCAAATTATAGCTTACATTGCAACCTCCAGCACAAGAAAATATATATTTCAGAAAATATCGTAATAAAATTATAGGGATAAAAAAAAGTTTTTCGTATTGTGCTATACGTGTGTTTGAATACCTCTCCAGTGCTTTAAGCGAATTTTAAAAAGTTGATTTTTTTGTTGTTGTGTGATTTTTTTTTTTTTTTTTTTGTGCTTGTTTAAAAAAGATTTAAAAAAAAAATAAAATAAAGTGGTCGGAATTAATGTTTTTTTTTTTTCTCTCTTTCTATGCAGCAAGTTTCTACTCATCCAGGCAGAAAACTCGGATTTTTTTTTTTTTTTTTTTGTTCCGCTTTTGGCATGTATTTCTGTGATTCTTTAAGCGTGTTTTTTATGTCCGTCTCTCACCCTGGCATGGTTTTCTAATGTTTTGTGTTTGAGCGCGTCAAACGCACATGTGCGCCTTGGACCTCCCCCTTGACGGCTCGCCCCGACCGACCAACCGACCGCTTTTTTTTTATAACCCTGCCTCTTTTTCTTTCTTCTCTTGCCCGAAAAAGTCAACGCTTCTTGACTAACATTTCTAACCTCTACCTTTATTCGCTTTAAATACGGTCATCATTCATCCTCTGATTCTTTTACGATGATCTTCTCATTGTGTCAGTAAAATAAATTTGTCTCTTTTTGCCCGATTTGTGTATTCATTCAGTTATCGCCGCGGCATTGTTGATGGTTCTTGGAGGAGGAGTCTAGAAAAAAAATCCCCGCCCGTTTTCTCTCTCTCTGTCCTGTTCCTCCGTCTCTGCCGCTCTCTTTCTTTCTCTTTTTTTCTCTCACACTGTGTGTGTATGTGTATTTGTGCGTGTATGTATAAGTGTGTGTGTGCGTATGTGTGAACATGGTAATGTCCCTTGTTAGCTTCATAATAAAAAGTCGCGCATTGAATTAGAAATATTGGAATAATCTGCAGTTATTCCTTTCTTTTGAGGATGCTGATTAAAAAAGAAAGAAGCCGTCATTCAAACAATAATTATTTCCGTTTTTTTACGAATACATTTCCTATAATTCGTAAATTTTCTTTTTTTTACGTACGAGAAAAAGATGACAACCTTTGAAAAAAAAAATACTTTTTTCTGAAGATGCTAATAAAACCTCTTTAAAGAAAACAAAAACAATGTGTGTTTGTTGTTACTTTTTCTTTTTAATCATGTACTGGAAAATTTCCTTTGTCTAAATGTAGAATATCTGTGTCATTTTTCTTCTTTTTTTTCGTTTCTATTGTTTTACTTCCAATAGCCACGGTAAGAAAACAAGTTTCTTTTCATTGTCCTCATTCCATCTTTTTTAATAACACAACTTTTTAACATTAAGAAAAGTTTTAATATCAAGGGAAAAAGTAAATAAAACGGGAGTAAAAAAGAAAAACAAAAGAAGTTTTCATTTTCAGTTTGATTTCCTTTCTTAATTGATATTTTTCAGAGGATGAAAAATACCTGAACACTTTAATTTTGTTTTATTTCCATTTTTACTTATTTATTTTTTTTTTAACTCTAATGTGTCCATTGCTTTTTCTATCTTTTTTTATTTCTTAACAACCACTTTATTTGTAGAAATTTTTAAAGATTCTTCTCTTCCTAAAGCCAGTCAACTAGAAAATGTTGTCTCTTCCACTGTTATGCTAATTACACACTGTGATGTAATAGTTGGGTGTTAGTGTGCTTCAGATTTATACAATCTTCTACGCACTCATCCCCATACGCTTCCCATTGCTTACATCTTGAAGAGAAACTGGAAAATTCTCTGGAAAAATTTTCCTTTGAAATAACATTTGCAATGCATATTTGATGATTCAATCAGCTATTTTTAGCTCTGGCCATTGGTATTAGAGGTAGAAGCAATTGCTGGTAAGAGAAGAACACCTGGCCCATTTCTTTCTTTTTTTTTTCCAACTTGCATTTTCTTTTTCAAGAAGTTTTTGCTGTCAACATTCGTTATCTTTTTATCATTATTATTTTCCCTATTTTTGTATTTTTAAATTTTTTTTTTTTTTTTTTTTGTTACATTTTTGAACGTTTCTTTCATTCAACCAATTATTTTCACTTTTACTTTTTTTTAAGTAAAAGTGCTGTTTTTCGTCATGCATAACTTGTTGAGTGGATAACTTGACATTTCTTTTTTCTTCTTTTTTTTCTACATTTTTGAATAGGATTTTCACTTTAAGGCATACTAATGTTTTTAATCTTTTTAATTATATTTACATTAATTTTCCAAACATAAAATGACAAAAAATATTGAATCTGTCAATTTCAACTGAAAAAGTTTTTACAAGTAAAAAGTTTGGGGGTGTATCCGTCAATCTGCTATTCATCTGAAATTCATTGCAATTTGAACATTAATATCAATTTATATTTAGTTTAGACATTAATTATGTTAAAGTATTTCATACATGCATGAAAAGATTTAGGCCTTTCTCTTCTTTAAGATTTTATTCTTTATAAAAATAATTTGATTGCTGCACTTATATTCTTGATAAATGATCTTTCTAAATTCCATTTTCTAGTCAATACTTTGGGATTCAAATTCCCATCTTATTAATTCAGTAATCCAATGTTACTTTATTTCTAGTTTTTCTTTTTGACTATGATTTATTGATTAAAACCTTGACTGATACACAGAACAATTCCATACAATGGAGTTGTGAACTTATATTGGTAAATTAGATTAAATGATTAACTTATTCCTGATAATATTCTCCTGCTAGAATTAAAATAAAAAAAAAACATTTGTAAACTTTTATTTTAAAAAAATTTTTTTTTCTTCCTATACTTTATTTTTTGTTGAGAAATTTAATTTGTGAATTTAATTTTATGAAATATTTTTAATAAAACATTGTCATAGAAAACTTTCTCTGTATCTGCAACTTCAAAAAAAGATCTATATTTTGAAATAATTAGTGAACTTCAAGTTTTAGGTTAGGAGATTTATTATGAGCTAACATTAGATTTTTCCAAAAATTAAGAATTTATTTAATTTTTTTTTTCTAGTGGAATTATTATCATAAAAGCTAACTGATAGTTATGTATATATAAAAAATAACATGTTTCAACTTTTTTTAGTACTAATCAGTTTTTATTATTTTCAGTCTGGTTTAATTGGTTAAGTAGTTTCATTTATTTTTTAAGTCTTTTCTTTTAAATTATTATTATAAGTAAAAGTAAGTATTTTTTATTTCAAGATATTTTTCTTAAATATTGAAAACTTCATGATATGACACATTGCACGGTGATATATTACCAGTCTCATCAATTCACAGTTGAATGGCTTTTGATGTAATTGTAAGTTCTTTGATAACAGTTTTTTTTTCTCACCTGTGAAACTCTTTTGGCTTCTTGCTTTCCAGCCAACTTTGATCTTCAAAAATTTAAACGCAATGTCAATCATTATCCACTGTCTTCTTAATTCCTGTTCTTTTATTGTTCTTGCTCCTTAATAATATTTTTAATTTTATTATTCTTTCACACTCAGTAACTCCTTGTATCTTAGTGGCCTTATTGTCTGGCTTGGAGTCAAATGATTAACAAAAAAAAAAAAAATTTATATTTGCAGTCTGAAAGACACCAAGCCCTAGTCATTTGTGATAGAAGAATTTATGAAGAGAGACAATAGTCTAAATTTCAGATGACATATTTATTCCATTAGGAATTTGATGCAGTAGATGCTAAATATAAAGAAAAGTTGTACTTTTATAAATAAAACTAGGCTCTTCTAAGAAAGATAATACAAATTTCATATACAATTTTTTAAGTTCAAGCACAGAGATTATACTGTGAAAGAGTGTGTAAATTGCTCTCTTGAGTAGATTGTAACACATCTATTTATCATCTCTCAGTTGTGTCTCTGTCTTTGGGCAGAGTGCACTCAGAGGCAGCTCCATCAAAGAACAGTCACAACTGAGGAAAATTATACTGAGAGGTACCCGGCCCAGGGATTGGTGCTCGCACCAAAGCCAGTGCAACCAATGGTTGCGGGGGCTTCAGGCAATTTTTGTTCCTAGCCTCGGTGTACACGCTTGGGTTTCCTACCTTAAAAACTGGCCTTGTGTCACAACTCGTCTTAGTGGGGTGCCAGAGTAAAATTTTTATTCTGTGAAATTTTGACATCTCTTTTTTTTCTTGGATTAGTCATCAAAACATTTATGTATTTACAAAAGCGAATATATATTCATCTTTGAGAGATATATCACTTTGAACATCAGATTTGTTTTTCTGCTTGTGTCCTAAAAGTTTATAACTTAAAGCTTAGCAGTAGCTATGTCTTTTTAGTAGTTCGAGCATCTACATACCAACAGAATGCATCAACTGCTGAGGTATTTTCTATTAGTGAATTTTAGATAAAATATAAGTAAATAACTGAAACATGATAACTCCTTTCAAATTAGAGCTAATTAAAGAAGACTAAAGTAACCAATCTTTGAAGATTATTATTTTTTTAATTTCACCCAAGCAAGACAATAAAGCCACTAAGACACAAGGGTTGGTTAGTGCAAGAAAATATTCTAAAAAGAAAACATTATAATAGAAAATATAAACTTTGACATTTGATCAATTTTTTGTGTAAAAAAACACAAAGTCTGCTTTTCTAAGTAGCTTTTCTCCTCTCTATTTTTTATTTGTTTTTTTTTATTTATTTATTTATTTTTTTTAAAGATCTAACATTAATTTTAATACATTTCCTCTTTCTTACTTTAATACAGAAAATATCATCAGAAGAAGTCTTCATTTTTCATTACAGGTTTACAGAAGCTGTTTCTCTGAAGTCTGTAGTCGGCCAATGTCATTCTTGCTGCTGCTGACCTAGAGAAAGATTTTTTACATTAGAGAGAGAGAGAAACTTGGAGCGACATTTTTATTGATGCTTTGTAAACTCTTCCTTCTTCTCCATCTTCTTGTTTGAGCAAGTCAGCTGCCAGACTGTGCAGAACCAACTCGTCGTTATTGCAGGGATTCCTTTTGGAAGCAGCATGATGCAAACTGATGATCCTTACATGTTCATGAGAGGCAATGAGTCCTTCTCACCAAATGTCTTTCCTGATCCCAAATCAACCACGGCACCAGCCTCCACATCAACAACAACTCCATCAAACCCTGGTATTGTTCCACTGGACAAGAAACCGTTCAAATGTTCCCACTGCTCCAAGGCGTTCCTCTACAGCAGCAGCCTCACGGCCCACGAGATGATGATGCATCGCTCCGATTTGCCGTACGAGTGCCGCGACTGTGGGAGACGCTTTTCTCTCAACACCCACCTTGAGCGGCACCAGATGATACATACAGGTAAGTTCTTGCGCAATGATAGGCCAGATATCATTTCAATTTAGATGATAGTGGGTAGCAGTAAACTATATGTTTTGATTGGTGCCTTCTCCAATCACTGAGTGACATGATTTCTGTTTTCATCAATATTTCACTTGATGATCAGGTATTTTACTTCCTCAGTTAACTAGTTCAGAAATTAAATAATAAAATGTCACCTGATGATTGGTGGGGGGGGGCACATTACATAAAATAAATATAAGTGCTAAGATCTTTATTTTTTTTCATCAACTCCAAAAGTTAGCAGGCAAGCTAAATAAGAGAACATATATTTAGTTGTAATTAATTTGAGAACATATATTTAGTTGTAATTAATTTGAGAACATATAATTTTCAAACATGTAAGCCTATTGATTAAAATGTGTGTTTTTTACTTTTCTAGATAATAAACATTAAAATTTGTTTATTTGATATGTCACAGATTCTTGTCTTGTCCCCTTAAAATTACAGAGTTAAATCTACAGATAGCTATTGAGTAGGGTATTGACTCTTCAGGTAAACTTTCTTCTCTGGTGGCCTCTGATGCTTTCGGGTAATTTTGAGACATTAGATAATTCACAAATTACATTCTTTTAAATCAAAATAACGTTATTGGCGTATTTATATGTTCTGTACTAGACAACATCTCTAAGTTTGTTTGCTTTTTTTAATAAAATGATGAATATTCACAACTATTTAAAGTAAATAAAAAGAGTAATTTCTAAAACATTGTCTTTTTAAGACAAATTCAGAATCCATAAATAAAGTAATGTTTGGTTTTGCAAATTATTTCATAAAAGCAAAAATTTTGAATTAAAGTGGCTTGGTGCTTATCAAGTTTTCTTTTTAAAAATTTAAATTTTTAGCCTAATGTAGATTTTTAATTACTTATTTCAATTTGTAACTAGTTTTAAATGACATGTTTCAAGTAATAAGTCACTTAATAGACTATTAGAAGTGGGTGAAAACATGTCATTTATGTTGAGCAAGTTAGGTTAGTTAACTTTGAGAGTAATATTCTTTGATTTCTTATAGGTTTAACTGGAAGAGCATCTGATTGTACAAATGTATTCAGAATATCTAGCAGAATCAATAGTTTGGGGTTTCCTAAATAAAATACAATTCAATGAGATTTGATTATTTATATATTTTATATTACATATAAACACATAAACAATATCTTAAAGTATGATTTTTGGATTATGTTTTCTACCTTATATGTTAGTAATGGTCGCCTGTGACTGATAGAGAAGGAATTGAAAGTAAAATAAATAATAAGGGATGATGAAAATGATGCTGATTACAAGTTTTACAAGTTTATTGTTCAAATGGAGGTGTCTGCTAAAAGAATAGTAACTGTTAACTGTAGCTTTTATAATAACATATTTCTCATCTATTCCGCAACCGGAATATGAGTTGATATTCATATAATTTGGATACCGTGAGGTTTTGTTTCCACCAAAGTTTGCTGAGAAGGACATTTTGCTTTAATTTAAAATCAGTGTTTCTTCTAAATGACTTTGTGATAATAAATTTCAATATAATTGACTCTTAGAATAAAAACAATTGTAAAATGACCACATTTACTTCACTAGACCAAATTTTATTTCTAGTGTAGACACATGAATAATTACTTTTTCTCAGCAAGCAATAACATGGAGATGATGGGTGATTAGTAAAGATAATAATTTTAAGAGGTTTTATATTTAATATATGTAAGCATATTAAATATTTTAACCATAAAATATTAAGTTTTAACATGTCTATTGAGAATTGATAATTCATTTTCATGCCACAGATGTCCACAGATTTTAACCAGTTTTTTTATTATAAGATGCTCTTTCTGCCTTTAGTTAAAAAATAATTTAATTTTTACTTTTCATGCATTGTAGATAGTAAAATAAAGATTTTTTTATGTTAATATCTTCTCCACTTTGTTTTTGAACATTATATTCATAGAATTATTGAAAATATCATAGAGTTGTTTCTTGTAGTAAAAAATGATGTACATGAGGTTTTACAATTTGCATTGATTTTATGTATTATCAAAATGTTAAAGTGTTCAGAATATATTTGTTTTTGCTCTCCTGAATAATGTTTTTTTTTGTTTGTTTTTTTTATTGAATGTTTTGTTTAAATTTAAGCAAAGAATTCTAAAATATAGCATTTTACTTTTTTATTGTTATAAACAAATGATTCACTACTGGCACTTAAAACCTCTGCATCAACTTAGACTATTTTGTCTGTCAGTAGAGAAATATCAATATTTTGAGCATGGAAAAAAAATACAATCATTCTTAAAGAAATTCAAAACGAAATAATGAAAATATGATATATTTTTAGCTTAATATTTTTATTTTTTTACAAGGTAAAAAACAGAGGGGATACATTTTTTAATGAATTTAGTAAGAATACATATTTTATTAATTCAGTAAATGAATAAAATTTAGTAATTGAAATTTTTATTAGTATTTTTATTTGTAAATGCAATAAAATTAACAATATATTTAACCATAATTTTTGTATACAGTTCAATGCAAAGTTTAAATTAAAGTTTAAATATCATGTAAATAACTGTTACAGTATTATATGAATGTTTACAGGGATGTGAATGTGTATTGTGTGCTTTGGTGGATTTTGAGGAAGATCTTAGTTATTTTTGGAGTGCTCTGCAGAAATGTTTAAAACAGAATTTGGTCTGCAATTTTCTAAGAGATGAGAGCTGTATGGAAATTTAATACTACTGATAGAGAAAAAAAAAACATTTAATCAAAATTCTGAAATAAAATATAAATCACTCTTTGTGGTGGGGAAGTTGTATTGTTTTTCTTATGCTTTGGCTAGTAACCTCACATACATTTTATTGTGTTCCAATGATTATTCATCAGTTATCAAGTAATGTGTTCTGAGTGAGCAAATCAGTTCCCACCCTTCCACACACACGCACACACTTATGGATTCTTTTTGCATATTGAATACTTTAAGAAATAGAAGTTCAATTTACATCATTTATGATGGCCAGGTGTAAACATTTTACCATAAGATCAGACAATTTTAAATTTTCTGTAAGATTTTATTTATTGAGTCTGAATTTTTTGACACTTTGTTTTTAAATTCACATAAATCTTAACAGTTGTTTAGGTAATTTTTTGTTTTTCCTACAGAATGCATAAGACAAAAGTACAGTAGATCTGCTGCCACTCATTTGGCTTAACTTTAGCAATGTATTTCTCTTTCTCACTCTTTATATATATATATATATATAGAGAGAGAGAGAGAGATAGGTGTATAAAAATACTGTTTAAATGATGAATTGTTTTTCATACTTAGTTTGCACAATTTAGTTTAACAAAAATTACTCTGAAAGACCCAACAGCGTCTGTTATCTACTCTAAAATATTGCAGATATTTGAGCATACATGCTTATTTAAAGCTATTGCCACTTTCATTATAATATTATCAATAATTAAAAGGCATTGTTTTAATAATGTAAACTAATGCATTAATAAGATCAAAGTTTCCAGTTTTGTATTATACACAAAATTTATTCATCGATGGAAAATATCATCATCTGACAAAATTAAATATATTTTATGAAAGATATTGTTCAGATAGTAAATTTATCCATAAGAGAAATTATATTTTGATTAGTAGTTTTTGTTAAATGTTTAAAAGAGCCTTGTTTTCTCCACTTTATTATTCTAAGAAACCATTTGCCTTGTTTCATTCTACAAATGCATTTTCAAGAATAGAAATAACTTAAATTGAAAAAAAGGGATGTAATTTCTTAAACAATTTTTGAATAAACTTTGTACCATTAGAAATTACCCCCATTTTTTTCTTTTTTATTAAAACAGTGTCATCAGATGACATTAAAGCAGCAGATGAATAGAAAATTCTTATTTAAGAAACAAGCAATCAAAGACACTTTCACATTTATATGAATATTGGAGAAAGTAGTGGAAAACGAATTACTCTTTGATATTTTTGCTTTTAATAAAGCTAATGATAATTATATAAAATAAATTTTAAAATATCAACAATTATCATTAATTGCTTGTTGGCACTATAGAAAAGATTAGAAAGTCAATAATACAAGATTATTTCTGATTCAGTTTCAAGTATGCATTAACAATCATATGTCTTAGGTTCTCCTATGTGATAAGGCATACTGAGCAATGGTTGTCTCCATTTTGAACAATATCAGATGTGTTCATTAGGAGATTTAGTCATTGTTCTTATAGCATTTATAAGTTTTTAGGGGACTGGGATGTTGACCCAACACTCGACCTTCCCCAAGAACCTTGAAACCAGCTATAATGACATTAACTACTAAGCTGTAGGCTTTTTTTTCTGTCAGTAACTTTCTCTAAGTTGAACTGCTTCACAGAGCTAAATGAATTCACCTGTTACCAATAGCTGGTGGGAAGAGGGAGAATGTAAGTAGGCTCGGCTGAAATTGGAATTTAGTTTGCCGATTCCATTTTCCATATTAGGAACCATTATGTATTGGAATTGTGTGGTAAGTGGACATATTATAACAACAAGAAATATGTAGGAAGAGAATGGAACAAGAGATGTACAAAGTAACAGGTTTATTCACCAACTGATTTACAACAGATAAATATACAGGAAGTATAAAATTAACCCCTTTTTAGAGAGTTCCTTAAAAAGGGAGATAACTGCATCCACAGTTTACTCTAACATTATGACACCATAATACAGGATATAATCACCTTTTTTTTTCATGTTTTACAAGTATGTCCTTTGTAAATACTTTTGCCTAAACTCAAACATAATAACAGATAATTCTGCTACTATACTTAACTTGATTTGCATGAATAATTTTATATTTACAACATTCTAAAAAATAATACAATTGTATTAAAACTAATGCAATGCAATATTTATCATTTACCAATTTATAAAGAAATAAATTTATAAATATTTACTAAATTATTAAAATATGTGAACCAATTAAAAGGAAATCCTTATTATTTACAATTTTAAAGAGTTTGAATTGATTTGCAATTAGTTATTTTGTCAACCAGTCTAATAAACAATCTAATAAATAAATAGTGCTTATTATTTTTGTTGTCATTTCTCAAGAACAAAGAAAATGCATAAATTCACTTTCATATGTTTAGGTTTCGTTAAAATTCTAATAATCACTTTTTAAAAGAATAAACATTGCTGAGGGAGTGAAGGAAGTTAAAATAATAGCGGTGTTAAGAGAAAAAAAAACATCCTTTTTAATACACTGTTTTTTTTTGTTGTTTTTTTTTATGGGCAAAAAGGTTAAACAATGCCAAACTTCTTTAATTTACTAATTTTATTATAATTATCTTAAATCTTTCTGTAAAGGTGTAAAAATAGAATGAAGGATACAGAATCAAAATTATATCAAGTTAAAAATAAAGAGATTGAAAATTGAATGATCATTTTTATAAACTTAATACATATATTACCTTTAGTGAAGACATTTTATAAGATGCTTTTTTTTTTATTAAAGTTTATTCTATATTAAAATATATATAATAGTATAAAAAATGAACCTCATAGATTGAATTATAAACTTGTATAATTAGATATTCAAATAATAAGAAAAAAAAAGAAAAATTCTAATATTTATTTTGGAAATGCTAAAATTTATATAGTATGAAATTAACAGATATTTTATTGTACTTGGCATAATAATAACAAAAAGAAAATACCTTAAAAAGATGAGACAAAGTTGTTGAACAAAATAAAATCAATTTTGTGTTATTATTGATAAGAATATGAAAAGCAATTTAATTACTTTCCTTAATAGTGTTTCTTATTGTCATGTAACTTGCAAAAATACTGTTTAACATTTTTTTGATAATGACAGACCATAAACAATCAATTTGCATCCTATAATAAATGTAGCATCAGAAGTCTTTTAGCTGTTTCACTACATGTTGGCTGTTCTTCAAATTAGCTTTTTTAATCATCTAATTTCATGGTACATGGCAGCACAATAATGTCTTTGTAGGACTATTAATAAATAACAATTTTATTTGTCTTTCATATTTATTAACATTTAATCAAGAACCAAGTCTTATTCTAACAGCATGTTTTTACAAGTTAAAACAAAACACTTTTTTTTAAATCATTGTTTATAATGTTGCCTGTGGATTTGGTATAAACAGTACAATAAGAGACAAGTAGACAGAGACTTGAGGTTTTATCCCAAGTGTTTAATCAGAGAAATCCTGGTTTCAAAACAATCCCTTCTCTTACCAGTCAAAATATGTATCTTATTGAATAATTTAGAGAGAAAATTACCATGTTGATATATATTCATTTATAAAACAATTTTGTCTTAGAAAAAAAACATGATGACGATGACATTGTGCTACTGACAAAAGTACTCAGAATAAATTGATATGTAACAACAGTAATTTTCTCTCTCCCTTTAATAAGGATACTAAGAAGCTTGTCTGTGAATATGAGAGGATTTTATTGAAAATAAGTAGACAAAACTTGTCTAAATTGTTCAATGAGACATGTCTTAATGAAAATATATGGTGTGGAAAATACCTCCCACATAATGGTAAGACATTAGCTACATGAAAACTTCATTATCACTAATAACTTACTATTAAGTAGGAGATATTTCTGCCACACCCTGTACATTTCATATATATATATATATATATATATATATATATATATATATATAATGTGTTTAAGTCATCTGAAGATCATGTGAGCATGAAACTCTGGTTATAACTATGCCCATCCTTTAATAGAAATTAATGCTGTTAAGCATTTTTTTTGCTCTGTCTAGGTAATCTAGGTTTCAAGCAGTTTATTGAGTAGGTAGGTTTGTCTTTTTTCTTCTTTTTTTTCAGTATTGTCATTTTTGTTTAAGACTTTATCTGGATAAAAGTTTTAGGTTTTAGCAAGCTGCCCATTGGTTCGATCAATGGTTTTGGATTTTCCTTATGTATATATATATATATATATATATATATATATATATATACACACACACACACACACACACACACACACACACACATGAAACAAGGTAACCATATTATATTTTCTATTTCAGTAGTGCTCTTTCAGATTTAGACCTGGTATCAATATCTAGACTTAAGGAAGTCATTTCATTTATGCTTACTGTACTAGTTGAAGAATCTGCTACCTGTGATTGTTATTTCCACCTCACTTTGCTATAAAGACAAATGTATTAAACTTGATAAAAAAGTTGACTTTATTGAAAGCTAACTTGATGGTGAACATAGGAGTTGGCATTTCATATTTTGGGCAAGATCTTCTCATTTTCTTATAGCACTCAAATCTGCTGCAGTGATCAAAGCAATAAGAGTTTGAGTTCTCTTTAAAAGCATTAAACTTGAAAATCAGAATATTTTTAAATTCTTAACATTTGTTTAAAAATTAATACTTTTCATTGACTTTTTGTATTTTTTCTTCTTGTTACTTTATTATTATAGGTTAGAATTCATTTATTTCAACATGAATGCTAATCCTTTCAACCTTGTATTACATACATTGTGTCAGTATTTAGTGATAGATTCATCTCCCAATATTATTCATAATTGAACGTCAATTCCTTATCAAAATATAAAATGGTGGAATTTTCAGTGTATATAGGTTCACATGTAATATCATATCTAAATATAGGCATTCAAAATATAAATAAAATTCATCTTTATATATAATTCTATAAATTTGTATATTATTTATGCTTAACGCATACAATTTTATCCATATGCACATACATACACACACACACACATATATATATATATATATATATATATATATATATATACTTGGCCAGTTATACTTCTCACCCATTTTATTTTTATATATATATATATATATACTTTTTTTTCACTTTATCTATCTACACACACATACACACATCCCTGTATTTATACAAACATACATGCCTTTGTACACATACATGTATTGTGACATGTATATGTATATGCATACACCCATCCAATACCGATTCCTGGAAGAGTCTGGTCTTTTTCTATCTTTGTTGCTCATTCTTGTTTCAGGTGAGAGGTCTTACCAGTGTGAGGAATGTGGCAAAACATTCCTTCATCAGCGTTATGTCAACGCACATGTTCGCCGCATTCACAATATCAGCAGACCTTACAAATGCGAATATTGTACAAAGGCCTTCGCCCACAACTGTCACCTGACTGAACACATTGCTATGCATTCTAGAGAGAAGACTTGAATGGGTAGCAATGTCTGGTCACCTTTCCATCCAAACCTTCATCAATAGAATTTAGGCCCAACCATCTGATTCATCTACGGAAGAATGTCAGTTTTTTTGGCTAAAGACTCATTTCAAAATTGTTGCTCTTTTTTTAATTGGGAGAAACTTCTCCTCCCCCTCTTCATGACAAAACCTATTCAAGCATTATATTCCTGGTTTCCAATTGTTCCACAGAACGGTGCAATGTCATAAAATGGATCCTGGTGAAAGAATGTTTGCTTCTTGTCCAAAAGGGAAAAAAAGGAAAACAAATTTTTTTTTTTTTTTTAATATTTTGGTTAATTTTTTTTCTTTTTTTTTTTTTTTTTTTTTTTTTTTTTGTCAAAGTTCATTCTGAAAAGAAAAAAAAAAGAAATAGATTCTATATTATTCTACTTTATTGGAAATTATTTTCAGTTGTAAATAGACGACTTAAACATTGACTGCAACAGTCAGATTAAAATTATAAAAAAAAAGAAAAAAAAAAAAAGAAGGAAAATGGAAAAAAAAATCTGTATTTACAGTTTATACTTCCCAGAAGTTTGTTTTGTACATGACAATCAACCAATTCAAAATGATTTATCATTACTTCTATGATATAGTACTTGTAATTTAACATATATATTAATTTACTTAAATGTATTTGTTAGTATAATATAATAGTATAATGTAAACACACTTATATATTTTTCAAATTTTAGTATTTTCATTAGTTTGTGTAAATTAAATCCATTGAATGTAAATGTGGTGTTGCTCAAATGAATAGCTGAATAAAATATTTACTAATTTTCAATGTAGTTTGACTAAATGTGATTTATAGTTTGAATAACCATCATCAGAAATAGACTTACTAGATAAATATTGACACAAAAATAATGAAGAAATTTCTTTTTTCACAAAATATGTTCTTGGAAAGTAAATATATAGTTATTAAGAATTTATTTTAAAATCACATTTCTTTAACTCTTATAAATACTCAGGAAAACTATAATATAAATTTTCAGCAACTTGAAAATATGTCTACTCACTTATGTTTTAAGAGAATGAAACACAGTACAACAACCCAGATTTCATTATCAGAAACACTTTATCAAATTAATAAATAGGTAATTGTTTTTAGACAGCAATACTTGAGAAACTTGTTTAAAGAATGACTAACTATAATACAATAAATTTATACATATGAAATAAATTCTTAATAAATAAACATTACTCGTTTGTTCCAATAAATGCTTTTAATTAGTACTAAAGATTACTACATGTGATGATTATGAGAAAATAGTAGTAGCAGTAAAGTAGTGCTAGTAATTAGAATATGAATATTTAGTAGTTGCTGATATAACATTATTATTTAGTATTAAAGTTCAGTAAATTAAACTTTTAGAAAACTGATTCATAAAATTAGGAGAAATATTATTTACTATGAGTGAATGTATCGCATGCAATTTGTTTCAATTCAGATTACAATCATTTCAAATTTAAAGACAATCATTCTATACCTATTCACCAATTAATTAACTAAATGTTTTGAAGTGACACATTAAGAATTTGATTTGTTTCTTTATTTATTTTAAATCAATGCCAACTTGAAAATTACTTAATGTTTCTAATAGATTTGGAATAAATTATTTAAGTGTCAATATAAAAAGGAAAGTGTGATGTAGTAATAAATGTAACTAAAATTCTGTATTCTTAGGTGTGTATGGTAGTGTGTGAGTGTAGTCAATTCTATGTTTCTATTCTTTTACACACACACACACATATATATATATATATATATATATATATATATATATATATATATATATATAGTTTATTCAATTAGTGAATGTTTTTTCCTTAAAATGTTTGAAAACAAAATTTTCAAAATGGCTTTAAATTTCCTTGCCTTTTCAAAGGAGATGTGTTGACAATTCCTTGCTTGGCAGAGAGTCAGTAAACTTGTCACATTAACAAACTGGTGGTTGAGATGTCTTTGAACCATCAAATTTAAAAAAAAAAAAAAAAATGACATTTGAATTATTCACTGGACCAATGAATTTTAAGATAGCACCCTAAAACCATATCCTTCTAACAAAATATTACAAAAGAGACATTTAAAAACAGTATTCATTGTATTTATCTTATTAAAAAAGAATAATAATAAAATAAAGCATTGTCACTTTATTTTGTCATCACTAATATATTGGGAAAAGTTTTCCTAAACCTAAAATGTTAATAGTTAAATAAATAAATCTCGTCTGGGTTATAAAATTTTCGACTTTTTTAATTGTCATCTCTCATTGCTCGTTCTTGTTTCAGGTGAGAGGTCTTACCAGTGTGAGGAATGTGGCAAAACATTCCTTCATCAGCGTTATGTCAACGCACATGTTCGCCGCATTCACAATATCAGCAGACCTTACAAATGCGAATATTGTACAAAGGCCTTCGCCCGCAATTGTCACCTGACTGAACACATTTCTTTGCATTCCAACGAGAAGAGCTACTCATGTGAGCTGTGTGGTCGAATCTATACCCAGCGTGGTCACTTAAATCAGCACCTTAAGGTCAATTGTGATGACAAACCTTACAAGTGCCCCTACTGCGAGAAATCATTTACACAGAGTAATTACTTAATAATGCACACCCGCATGCACAGTACTGGTCCCCAACCCTACCAGTGCCAAATTTGCCAGAAATATTTCACCAAGTATGAAGACCTGGTCAGTCATGCCAAAAACCATGAAGGTCCGGCTGTAAATCAGCCGACTTTGGTGCCAACAGATAAACAGGCCAAGTGTGAGATCTGTGGACACCTGTTTGACTTGGATGACCATTACCGAGATTTATTAGTATTTGCTGATGAGAAGAGGTTCCGATGTCCTCAGTGTGAGCGTCTCTTTCCTCATCATGTCGCACTTGATAGGCAGCCACTAGTTCCTTCTGCCATGACGCCTCCCAGTCCAAATTTTTTTCTGCCAAGTAACAAAATCCTGCTTCCTACTTGAATGCCATTTGTTCAATCCACTGAGATATGTCCATAGGATTCTTGTTAATATTAGTAATATTTTTATTGCCTTGAATATTATTATTGTTTTTTTTTAACATATTTCTTGTCAACTCTTGTTAATAATTGTTTTCCTTATTTCTTTATCTTCGTATATATTGTTTTCATTGTCACTTGTTTTTATTTCCTTTGCTGCTCTTATTTGTGACTGCTCATCAGCAGTAATTAAGTTTTGCTATCTTTAGAAACATGGGTTAAGAATAGGAGTCTTGCTCGAGTCTAAAATCCAAATAGTTGCCATGAGTTTAGCTTAACAAGGGACGTAACTCAAATGGGGGGGAAAAAAGCTACATATTTAATAATTAACTTTGGTATAATGTTACAGTAGCGGGACACCCACCCAAATTGGTTGCTTTGCAAACTTAATTTGTAATGTTTAGTTGTCTATGACAAGGGGAATTTAACATTAAAAGAAGCTATTTATTGAAATTGATCTCCCATAGAGAAACAGTATTTCATAGTTCTACTAGTGAGTTTAAATGAGTAACATTGTTCTAAATATTTTTGAATATGGGGGAAACTATCAAAACTACTTTTTCATTTCAGCAGATTAACCATATTAAAGAGTTAATCAAAATCTGTAACAAGAGCTAAGTGTTGCCATCTGTTGTTAGCACAACTAAAATGGTATTGTTGCATCTATTTAAACCTGCTTTCCAGTCACAAGATCAAGGAAAGTCATGTTTTTTTAAGCTCTTCATAAAACTAAGCTTGATGGAGTGAAACCAAAAAAAAAAAAAAAACTTGAATCAAATACTTTGCATTTGATAAATTTAATTTCCAACAGAAATTGAAAAAGTTTCAGCTAAAATAAATTCATTATTCTTGGGGTATTTGATTATTATTGATATCCTGAATGTCATTTTAAGTTTTAGACTTTTGAGAAACATATTTATATTGAAACATTATTTTTTTTCTTTTTATTGATCATTCAAGAATAATGATTTTGCTGAATATTTTTAGTTAATAATTCAATATTTTTAAAAGGAAGTTAATATAGGCTTTAAAAAGGCAAATAAATGAAGGAATTAAATAAAAAAAAAATATCTAAACTGGTAATAAAATTATTTCTATGTAATAAATGCTATGTTTTGCTTTAAAAAAAAAAAAAAAAAGCATAAAATTTTTATATTTGGTTACATCTGTTTTATGTTAACACATCTTTGTTGCCTGTGATAGGATTTTCTTTCATATGGGAGGACATAAAAAGTATTTGAACATATCCATTAGATATATAATACTACTGAAATGAGAATATCATAAATTGATAAGAAAATTATTTTACCTCCTTACATTTTTCCTTTCAAGAAATAGCCATTTTTATTTGGGGAAATTACTTTATTCACTTGTATATCCCTGTTCAACCTTTCTGCTTAGAGATTTGAAACTAAGTTTAACATTTCTCGAGATTCCTATTCCTAATGAGAACAACTTTTTACCCGGTGAAGTAAGTTTCTTTAGTTGCAAATCGTTGATAAGCATTCACAAATCAGATCTATTTTTTATTGGCTCGACTTGAAAACTTCCAATCTGTGCTTTTACTAAAACTTGCTTCATCTTGGAATCTTTTTCTCTTCCATTGTTAGAGCTTACTCAAATCCCCTTACATGCACATACACACTATTCAATTCATAAATATGAAAAAGTTTATCCAAAAATTTGTTCTTTTGAGTCTTTGGGATAGCATGTTTTTTTCTTATTGTCATAATAAAAAGAAAAAATTTAAATACATCAATTTTTTTAAAAATAATAACTAAAAAAAATATTAATTTATTTTAATTAAAGATGACCATCATTCTGTGATATCCAAATTAATTAATATTTCTAGGATCCTGGATCTGATCAATCTTTCAACTTGTGCAACAATCATATTTTAGCAAGTAGGTTTCAAGCTCCACCACTATTTTTTCTATTTTTACTCATAGCTCAAGGGAGGAGTGAATTCTACCCCTAGATTTGAATTCAGAGTTGTCCTTCTCTCAGACTGGTTACCAACTAGAGCCCAGTCTACTTGGCTATTTTATCCATAGCTGGATGGGGGAAAAGATGGTTTCACAAGGCTATTTGTGTGAACACAAATTGCTTTGACCAGAATCTGAATAGAATTCACTGACTCCATTTTCCGTGATATCAAATGCGAGGCCAAATGAAACACCATTGAATATATAACAATGTCAAATTCATTTATCTTTATAGAAACTAATTAGCCCCTTTAACTAGTAATAAATTTGATTTCAGTTATAGGCATTTTCTTTATGTAATTTTTTTAAAATCAATTTTTTTTTTCTAATGTTAAAACATTGAACTTTCACATCAGTTTGATCAAAATTTGAAAATATTTTTGGCTTATATTCTATGTATAAAGACCATACTTCTCATGACATGAATTAATGGGATTCCATTGAGTCTAGATTCTTTTGTATTGTATAAATACTTCTGACTCTGAATGAAACCAAGCTGTACCAGATTGAAAAAGAAAATTATTTATCAAACATAAATAATAGTTTGTCGTTAAAAAAATTAACAATCATAGGATTAATTATTTAGAAAGTAATAAAATAAAGCTGATTTTTCTCAACAAAAAAAAAAAAATTAATTTTTAAGAGGCTTAAGTCTTCATAAAATTTCCAGAAGTACAAATTAATCTCAATTATAATATTCATTTTTTTTTCTTTACACAAATTAAAAACACTTGTACTAAGTATAAATTCAATTTTTTTTATGTAATATCAATTAAAAAAACAAAAAAAAACAATGGAAAATTTATTGAATATGATTAAGTGAGCCATTGTCAAGTGATCCTGGGAAGGTTTATTGTTAGTAGTGGTATGGGATCTTCCTCTTATATCTATGTATATATGTGTGTGTGTGTGCGTGTGTGTTATTTGTTGTTGTCACATGCCTTTGTTAATCTGGAGATCTATCTACAAAGGCACTGTACCAATCTGTTCTCTTTTAGGGGCAGAGGGTGGCCACCTGACAAAACGACAGAAAAGAGAATTTGGAGTAAATGAAGCACGCAATGCTACTCCAAAGAGACCCTGTAGGGATGGCACTCTACCAAGATGGTGATACAAAGCCAGCCGTTCCCTGTGACAGCTGACTGAAGTTTGCATGACACTCTGCACCCAGCACGCACCAACACGGCTGTGACGCTTACTCCGTCTTGGATCTCGAGCAAAAAGGTTGTGCTTAATAAATTAAATCTATTTTCTGACAATAATTAATTAAAAAGGTACAAACCTTAGTCAAAGTTAGTCATAAGCAGGACTATGTGACCGTTATTTAGTGCTAATAAATGTTGTATTTTAAAGTTACACTAGTTGAGACAAGTTTTAATCATTTTTTTTTTTTTTTACATGATTAGATATAGCTTTACAAAATTAAATGCTTATACTATGACATTAGAGATAGTAGAAGTATAAATTTAAGCAATTTGCATACATTGTCTTTATATGAAGATTTATTTTTATTTTACATCATAAACTTGGTCTGGAATCAGTATTATAACAAATACTACTTCAGTTCCATGAAAGATGTTAGATGTAAATATACATTTCATTCACAAAAATGTAACAAATATTATGGGACAATAGTATAATATTAATGACATCATGAAGTAATGGCCCAATACTTGCACAAGTACTGTTGTGAATAATTTGACAGTTACTACAATTTCAATCATAAATGAAGACCATAATTATATTCGTTTTTGTGCAAGAAGAATTTCACTTACCTTCATCTCTCAATAATAATCAGAATTTAAAACACGTTTAAAGGTAGATATACTTATAAGCAACAGAATTGAATAAGTTATAGGTAGGTATGAAAAGATTTGTTTTCACAATGAGCCTGGCTCTACTTAAAATTAGCATCAACATTAAGTGAAACTTTTTCTCATAGATTCAGGTTGTTTTATCAGACCACCATTTGTGTTATCTTGTTCATTTATCGTGTTATTAACAATGTCTTTGTATTCATAAATGTATATACCATATTCATATACTGCCATTTAATATTCACCTACCAATATGTATCAAATGTTTGCTATTTGTGATGTTTATGATCGAGCCTTTAATTTGTGCAATTGTATAATGAATAAAATACATTCTATCACTTTGGTCAAAGCACAAAAATTCTCACACATCAATTCTCTTTAATTTTATAGAATCATAAAATTTAAAAAAAAAAACAAAAACAAAAAAACAAACTGATAAGCATTTTAAGTGAATAGTCAAATTTGTTATTGATCACAATTCCTTATTTTATGATAAATTAATTGTGGGTGGAAGGATTATTATATATATATAAAAAATACTACTTGACAATGAAAAGAAATTTTCTCTTATATCAAATTCATACTTATATTGACAATTCAAATATTTATATGGCATTTGTAGTTTTTATGCATTTTTTTTCTTACATATGGTTTTATCATAAATTAGATTATATTAAAGAAAGAAAAAAAAATCAAAGATATTTTCCAGATGTGAACATTTCACATAAAAATAGTGTTAATGAGAGAAATCTAATTTAGCCTTGAATGTAGAGATGTAGTCAGTAAAGAAATAGATTATGCTATTACTTTTCTATTACTGAAAAGACATTTTAATACAAACATATTTTTCCATACAATTTATCTAAATAATTTTTAATGTAATACAACAGCTTTGAAACAATATTAGGGATATTTGTAATCGCCTCGAAATATGGATAAGCTTGTATGAAGGTTTTGCAAAGTTATCTCCCCCTAAATTAACTCGCTTCATGAAAATCGTTTTACCAGAAAAGATAAAAATTAAGTATAGAGGAAAATCATTCAAGAATGTAAGCTCCATTAATTTCTCGTTCTTCTTAGTCACTTGGAAGTTTTCAGGGTTTTTTTTTTTTTTTTTTTTAAAAAAAAAAACAACATATAAAATAAAATAAAATGTTCCTTTC